TCTTACTCTTCCTTTTAAAGTGACGGTTTCTTCCTTCTTGTCGTTCCACGTTATCCATATTTTATTTTTTTGGTCAATGATGTAACAGAAAGCACAACTACAGAATAGTGTGAAACATTACAGGTCAGGAGTTTTATTTTTGAAGTTGAATGTGTCCCAAGAAGCCGGGTGTTCAGCTCTTTTTTGGGGAGCACAGGGCCGGACGCTCAGTGTCTTTAGTAGTGCCCTGCATGCAAACGCTCTGCCGAGACTGTACCCTAGCGGCCATTTTAATGGCATTTCTGTCCCATTGCTTGATGTTTTGTTGACAAATGAGAGTCAGGCTGGTCCTGGCTGGGAAGCAGGCCCAAAGGCTTGAGAGGACAGCAGTGCTGCTTTCAGGAAACCAAAATTTGGAGAGCACTGTCAGGGCGAGGCTACCTCTCACTGTGCGCAGAGATGCTCGATGGAGTAGAAACCTCTCCTCAGGAGTGGGGAGTGACCTCTGTAGAGAGAAAAAGTGTTATAAAGTGAGATCGGCGCAGACGTGATTTGGGCAGTAAGAGACTGGAGCTGGCTGGCATGGCAGGGGAAGGTAGCAGCAGAGTGAGAGAAAAGCCATAGGCACAGTGAGGAAGCCTCCCTCCATGGGGAGTTAGCAGTCAGCTCTTGTTTTAGGGCTGTCCTCCTGGGAGGAGGATGTGAAAAGGCCTGGCATGGAGATCACGTGCAGTGGAGACCTGGAGTGTCAAGGCTGTGACCACTGAGGTTAAATAGGTGGCTCAGCTGTAGGCAGCTCAAGGCATCTGTCTCCAGTCTTCATGTTTCAATTTGCTCATCCCGAATTAAGGCACAGAGGATGACCTACAGATGGTCACCATTAATTTTGTCACTTGATGCAATTTTTTTTAAAGCTTTTTTGTCAACCTTTTAAAAACAGATGTGTGTGTTTAAAATACATCTTTTTAGAGCAACCCACTAAAGATCTTATATTTGGTTTTAGATTTAATTTTAGTCTTAAGTGGCTGGGATACAATGTTGGCATTTCATTTAAGCCAGGTGTCTCTTGTAACTGTATCAATTTATTTGTTTATTTTAAAAATAAACTCTAAAGGATCTCTTTGCATTCCTAGTCTGTCTCCCTTGGAGCCTCAGAAATTACATCCTGCCAAAATATTTTCTGTGTTTTGGATTGCATACCTGTTTTTACATAGGATTCATCATGATTGCAGGATGCTGGCATTGTGTGGGCTGAATTTGGGCTACAGGGCTTTCAAAAACAAAATCTTCTGCAGAAAAGTCCAACCTTCTTAACGATTTCTTAAGGAAACCACAGGAATGCAAACAGAACTCAGGAGCTGTGACTAGTAACTGCCTGCACCAAGTCAGAATCACAGATAACAGCGGATTATCAAATCAAATTATATGGGCTTTTAAACTGATAAAACAACTCCAGTCAGGTTTTTCCCACAGCCTCCGTATTAAACATGGGTTGCACTTTCTGAATGTCTTTTAAGATGTTTCTTCTTCAGTTGTGTCTGGAAATTTTACCTTAAGAAAAGTCATTTTTAGTCTGTACAGTGCACTTGAAACAAGTTCTCAGAGTACATTTCTTAAAGCAATATATTTATTCTTTTGTTACTTTATTTGCAGGTCAAAATTTATCTGGTTCACTTAAATTAGCTTTGATTTAACCATCGTGTAGAAGACAAATATGATGCCAAACAGAAGTAACATCTCCTTTCAGAATGTTGGATCAGGTAATCAATTAGAATAACTTGAGTTTGTTTGTAAATTTACTGAGATTTTTCAGGATTTATTACTGGTTTGGGTCCTTTAATTCCGTAGATAAATCAGTGCTCTGTTCTTCTTCTGTATCTAACTCATTTCACCAGCCAAAACAGGGCCACAGCTGGACAGACACACTGCAGACAGCCAAACCTTCACCATCAGTTTAATGTCTGGCTGGACTAGATATCAGTGACCCCCAGCTAAAGAACTTAGGAAGCACAGAAACAGAAAGGAATGAGGAAAAAAATAAAAAAAAAAAAAAAAGAGAAGAATTTCCTCCTGTGTAGCTCCAGGCAGTAAATACTTTGCTAAGCAGAGGAGCCTTGCAGTGTGCGCTGAAGGTTACCAAGTGAAAGCTCAGGCTGACCTTGGGGCAGGATGGATCCTGTACGTGCCACATGCTGGAACTCTCTGCCCCAGTTGCTGTGACTGCATGTGAAGGCAGCATCAGCCAGAATATGTAACGAATCAGGGCTTATTCATAAAGCCTCATCCCAAGCATTGCCCTAAAAATAAACAAACCAAACAAGATATGGCTTGTGGGTAGAAGTTAAGGTTCAGTTAAACATGTGCTCCAGTCCAGTTGGGGTTTAACCTTATGATTGCGGCCACTGTGGTGTTGGAACTGAGAGCTTGGAGGAATTGGCGTGAGGTATCATCAAGAAAAGTTGAATCCAAGTGGCTACATGAAGGTATTGTGACCTCTTTTACTGTACTTGTTTGGATTTAAAGTACAATGAACCCTTCATTGCTGTGGTGAACAGGCCTGAAAGTTTCCATGAGCTAACTTGTTTTTTGGCAAAAGCAGTTAGTCTTCGCAGGATTAAATGTGCCCTACTGGTGTTGCAAGGGAGTAATAAACAATTATTAATGTCCCATTAATGTGTCTGCTAAGCTATTTATATAGGAGTCAGTGGAATTTATGCAAAACCAGTTGAACTTCAGCTGTGTTGAACTAATGTTTTGGACAGTATATTTTTGATGTAAGAGTCAAGGCATATACATCATGCGCTCTATCTGTGCTCTCGAATAGCTCTTATATCTTGTCCTTCCTTATAACACCACTAACACGACGAGAGCTTGATCTTTTTCTGATGACTTTGTCTTGACAGAGTTTTGTCGAACATGGGGCACATTCCTCCTTTTGCGCATTTTAACTTCATCATTGCTGTTCGTCAAAACATGTGAAAGTAGTTAAAAATGTCAAGTAAAAATGTCACATTATAAGAAAGGTACTCACAGCAGTGATGGTGTGATAGGGAGTCCTGTGAATGTATTTGTTCAAAGGCAACTGAGTTGGATCATCAATAATGAATGCATTAAAATTATAGCAAATTAAATGATTGGCAGCATAAAAAACATTACATTCTGTTTAGTGGTAAACCTGAGGCTTGGGTCTGAATCTGGAAGGCGATGTTTTCTGCTACTAGTAGAACTTGTAGTTGACACATTTTTAGCCAGGTATGCTCAAGAAGACTTTTTTTTTTGGCCTTAATGCCAACTCGTTTTATCTTTTGCATATTCACTTATGCTATTAATGACAGTTACGTTTGTTCTTAAACTTACGGGTTTGTTCCCTACCAGTTGAGGAGAACGTTTTGTTAGGCACTGAGACGCACCGTAGTTTGTGTGGAGTGAGAGCTTGTTTCCAGAAGCTCTTGGAACAGATGGGTATTGAATGATGCCCTGGACAGTAATCCATTTTTTTTTGCCTTGTCAGCAACAAAGGTCCGAGAAACAGGGACCCACTCAAAGTATGCATTGCCACCTTCCACCAGATGTTTGAACCCCAGTGAAACTGGATCATCTCAGTTCTGCACTGCAGCTGCAGTGTGGGGCAGGAATCCAGATTGTGTGTGTCTGGGTTCGTATAATTGTTTGAAGTGGTACTCAGAAGAGGATTAAAGTATCACCTCAGAGGATTTTAAAAGCACTTTGCATGCTAGGATGTTAGGTTTTCGTGCAGAGTGGCAAACTGGGATTAGGTTTCTCACGAGGTGGCTTGAAATCACAAGTGGAAAGTGACTGAGCCAAGAGCAAATCCCAGGTTTGACCCGTGTTCCCAGAGGCAGCGCTCAGTGGCACTGCAGGAACTGACACTGAAGAGTGGTTGCCTTATTAGTTCAAAGCACATCCAGAGAGCTGCTGGAAATGTTTATGGTGCCATTTCTACTTCAAGGGAAAGCCTGCTTGGGGTGTGTTTGTCTCCTGCAGTGACTGATGCTGTCAGGAGCTGAATTCTTTCCTCCGCTTTCTGCAAAGTGGGACTCAGCGCTGTAGGATGGAGCTTGGCATGTCAGAGAACAATAACGTTCAGCACAACAAAGGGCTTTTTAGTCTCTGTCCTTCCTCAGAATATAAGTTACCATTCTGAACTTATGTTAGGGACCTGGAAACTGAAGCCCCTGTTAGTGTTTTTAACGGCCATGTGATTGCTGCTGTTGTTTTGAATGAAGTCATAGAGCCTAGCATTATACTACCTTGGGGCTATCTTTTAACTAAAATGCTCTTTGCAGATGTAGTTACATGACTTTCTATTTTAAGAATGTTAAGCACTGAGCTGAAACACCTTGAGAAACAGGCCTCAGATTTGTACTTTTCCATGAAGCTCTGCATGACGATTCACAGAGTAAGCAGAAGGATAACAAACTCTTAGTGAATTTAGTAGTACATGTATTCTGGGGCTCAAATGAATTAGTTGCATGAAAGAAAAGGTGACCAAGAACAGCACCTGTATCTTGAGCCCTGGAAGAGTTGCATTCAATTCTTTTCTCTGCTGTTGGTTTTGTATCTTCTCTCTCTACCTTAGTTCCTTGTCTGTAAAACAAACAAACAAAAAACAAAAGAAAACAAAACCACAGGACAATAATGCTTCCTTACCACATGGACATCTTAGGAGGCTCAGGCTTATAAAGACTGCGAGCCACAGAGTCCAGCAATGGATAGGACAACAAAGAGTCAAGTCTCTTCATAACTGTGTTGCTGGTTTGTAATGTGAATTTGGTGATGTCTGTCAACCATTTTTTTCTTTTCCTGTCACTCTACAATTTTAGCAAAACCAGAGATTGGAAGATTGCTTATAACCCGCTTTGTCTAATGATCTGAGACACATTTATAACAAGCGTGCTAATGATTTGAATATGTTCTTTTGAAGACCGTATGCAGGCATGTGTATGCAAGAAGCTACTTACTTGTTTGCTAAGAACTTTTTCTTCTTGTTTTCCCTACAGATTCCAGTAAGATTATGGCAGAGTATAGCCACACACAAAACCAGATGGAATTACAAAATACTAGTTTGGGAAAGGGTTCTGTGGCGAATTCCCTTGAAAATGGTCTCCAGGATATTATGGAAAACCTCAACACGAAGAAATATTCATCAAGTCTCAAATTTAAAACAAACGGGGACTATGCTGGTTCTTATTTAACCCTTTCGCAACCTGTGGCAGTTAAACCCAATCCTTCCACCAGTGTTAAAAACACACACTCTGTTACCAAAATTCAAGGAGGCAAGCTGTTCCCTTGTGAAAGTCCGTATCTTCCAGATAAAAGCTTCTCTGTAAAGCATTTGAGCTCTGTATCGGGCACATCTCCATCCCTCAGCGGGTACAGTTTAGGAAGGACAGACTTTGATATTCATGCCAACAGAGAAAATGAAAAATCTCTTGGGCACATGGATAAGTTTTACTACTCCAAGTATAGCCAGAAAAACAAATCATATGACAATGTCTACTTCCCAGGAATGCTGGACACGAAGAAGATCTCGGGCTCTCTTCTCACAATGTGGAATGGCAGCTCAGGGAGCGAGCTGATGCTTTCCCCTGTTAGCAATTCAGGGGCAGCCAGCATGCCTTCAAGCCCGAAGCAGGGCAGGAGGATGAATATTGAAGACAGCCTAGCCCTTCATGCAAAGCCAGTTAAACACAAGGATGTGATGATGGAGACGCTGGGTTCGCGACCTAGGAAATACTCTGGTGGATCTCTGAGTCATATGGGAATGTACAGCCGTTCCCTACCCAGGCTTCATAAATCAACAGAAAGCCAGCTGATGCCATTAAGTTTGCCCCCAAGAAACTCTCTGGGTAATACTAAAAGGAAAAAACTTGGAGAAAAGGATCTACCTCAGAATGCTTTAGATGCTGACAATTACCTGAATTTTTCTTCGTGCAGCTCAGGGGTTTCACCACATGCAAGTTCTGTCTCTGGGAATAATCCCTACGTTAGTTCGACTCTCAGTGTTCCTGCAAGCCCTCGAATCGCTAAAAAAATGCTTTTAGCATCTTCTTCCTCATATATTCCAGATGATTTTGATAGACTTGGACTCTCAGGAACAAGTCCCAGTAGTTCATTCTCCCCTGTGGATTTTGACAGATCATTCTCTGTCAGAAGAAACCTCTCCACCAGTTCCATGGAATTTGATGACACCGATTTGGAAAGTTACAGACAGACACCCAACTCACTGCAGACTTCTTTGAGAGAGCGGAAGAACAGCATCAGCTCCATTTCGGGGAGAGAGGACCTCATGGACTACCACAGGAGGCAGAGGGAGGAGCGGCTTCGGGAGCAGGAGATGGAACGCCTGGTAATTTTTTCTTCCCCTTTGAGCTTTTCGTGGCAGCTGGTGTTGGCAAAATGTCTTTTCCAGATCTAGCCATCGGGAGGGTATAGCAAAACATAAGCTGTTGCCTTTTGAAATTCAAATTTCACTGACGTCAGATGCATTGTTTATTACTGCAGTCCATGAAGCTAATGATTAAGTGGCATGCTGCTGTTACAGCTCACACGGACAGTGCTGTTCAACCATCCTACAAAATACGTTGTAACCCACATAAATTGTGTTCGTTCATCCTGTGGGCTTTGCTAAAACGTCTGTGTGCAGAAACCCCACAATTTGCACTGCAGGGTTCCAACACTTCTCTTTCAGCTGATGGCAGTGTTTGATGGTGAGTGGGTAAAATGAACTTGTCTCCACTGCAAGCTGCTCAGAGTCCTGTCTGCTGTGCTGTGGAGCCAGGTAGGCGTTGGGGTCGGTTCGACGGCCGTCATCAGAGTTCTCTCTTCTTGGTTGTAGTTTTACCTCCTGAGTATTTGCATTAAAATACAGGCATTTTTGTTTCTCCCTTCCCCTGAATGGAGAGTAGCAGAAGGGGACAGACCTTCTGTCTTTGTGCAGTAGCTGCAAAACTCTGTAGTCAACATAAAATCACACACCGCCTCAGCCCTGAATTATACTTGATAGTAAGGCACAACTTGTACATGTTATTGAAACAACTGTTAGGTAAAAGAAAAAGAATATCTTGAGAATAGTCAAAGAGGGAAGAAACAGTTTCATATTGAAACTCCCTGAGGTGATACTTGGTAATTCTTCAAAGTTTTTGCAGTGACTGCCTTGGCCCTGCTAACCTGCATTCATACTGTACTGATTTTGTTATCCACTTAGGCACTGACCTATGTCACTACAGGACTCTCACCTTGAGACCTTAACTTTGGATGTGTTCTTTGACTCCGGTCTTAATAGGTTTGGGCTCTTGCCACTGTCTAGCTCACCTACAGCCCCAGAGCCCATGGCGGAGCTTGGTGGGCCACGAAGACATGCTGTGCCCCCAGGACAGAGGGTGAGGAGACCTGGTGAGGGAGCAGGGGTTGCAGACCCCCTGAAGGTTATGTTTTCACACAGCCAAGGAAAACTACCATCAGAAGTGCTCAGGAGTTATTTCCCCCTCTCTCCCTGCTGCTATATCGCTCCATGTTGAAATCTCCTCGCTGTTCCCAGTCGTCATGTTCTGTGTGTGCCAAGTGGCACTGACGTGTTATCAGAGGGCCTTCCAGACAGCAGCGATGTAAAACTTGAGCGGTGATCAGTCATGAAAGACAACACAGGGAGTATATTTATATTTCAAAGAGAACAGCGTTTTTTGCAGTGAGGCACTGGAGATATGGGGCTGTTTCTGTATTCAGTAATGCTAAAAATTGTTCTCATTTTATACATGGATGTAATGGCTACGGGTTTTTTTTTTGCCTTTGCTATTTCTTTATTCTTGGGACAATACTTCCTTCATGTCTTGGTTCTTTAAAAAGTGAATTTGCCTTGTGTTTTTCCAAGCATGTCAGAGCTTTTGAAAAAAAGCATAAGGTTTTGTGTGCATTGTACAATTTGGACATGAAGAAAGTTCATCTTCTTTTCAGGATCCTGCTCAGTATTCCTCAGTACTGTTTTTTCCTCCTTTTTGAGTATCTGGTTGAAGGGTTGCAGAGCAGGAGAGTGCCTCCTTCCAGTGGTTTGAGGGTCTGAGTAACCCCACAAATAGGTTTTCAAATTTCTGAGAGGAAGGAATATATTTGGTTGAAAAAAAAAAAAAAGCCAAGTCTCTTAATGTTCCTCCACAAAGTGCACATCAGCCTGTTGTACATTAGGGGCTGTCCTGTTTGTTTTATTTTTGTCATTTTAAGTGATTGGAGGCTTGACAGGATCCTCATGTATCTAGCCTGAGTTTCCAAAGCACACCTTTGTCTGATTTTTATGGCAGGTGACATGGATGGGGATCCAGGTCTGCTCAGGCCTGTTTTGGGGAGCAGGGTGTGTGTGGGATAAATGAAATCCCACAACCACCAAATAAGTGCCTTTGGATGGCAAAACCCAAATGGTTTGCATTCTCGGGGATGGGTAAAAGTCCAGACTGAGTGTCTGGTGGGGGAACGGCAGGGAAAGCCCAGTCCTTTTAAGCATAAATATTAGACTGTAATGTGCTGTGCCTTTGAAGCAAGGCAGGCAGAAGGAAAATGTAGGACTGCTCGGAGACTCCTCAGAAGGATGAGGCCACTCCTCGAGCCAGATGCTGAGCGGAGAGCAGTGCAGCTGGCACCAGTGCTGCCCCTGCGGCCACCCTGCTGGCACAGGGCTGGATTGGGCCTCATGTTTGCCAGCTGCTGCTCACCTCTGAAATTCTTGGCAAAGCTCATGTGCACATTAGAGTTTGCCCTGGTGTCTGCTCTCAGTCTCTTCTCTTTATTTTTACTCCTTTTGTTGTTGCCTTTTTTTTTTTCGCCCATATAAATTATTCTGTGAGTTTTACTTGTGCTTAGTTTGCTTTTTAAGTGACAGAGGCCCCTCAGGAGGTTTGCATTTTGAGTTCCTGCTACTGTCTGCATACGAAACTAAGTGATCTGCTGTCATCGCCCAGACAAATATACATGGAATTGTAAAAAATTCTGCAAACAGTGGAAATGCTCCGTGCAGTTTTTTGGAGTGATTAAAACATCTGAGTTGTAATGTGTCCCTATGCACCGGAGAGAAGACACATATGTACGTGCATAGCATTTGATGTTGCCCCCTCAAGTTTCCTCTCCATGTGCCTTTCACCAAAGTCAGCCGAACACTGGGGCCCGCCGCTCCTGCTCCTGCTCCTGCTCCTGCTCCTGCTCCTGCTCCTGCTGGCTCTGTCCGGGCTGGCCGGGTGCCACATCTCTCCAGGCGGATGTTGATCCAAGTTTTACACAAGTAGATGCAACAGCGAGCTATTGCTGAGGATTGCCTGCGAGCCTCATAAACAAGGAAAAGAGTTAACACTGGGATCTAAGAATAGGCAATGAGATTCAGTCAGCTGTTTGTGTTTTTTATTTCTTGTTCAAAGAGGAAATCTTTATTCTTTTTTTCCCCTCTCTGAGATAAAAGGCAAATTGTCATGGCTGCTGGAACTGAAAGGCGGTTGTTCTCCCCAGCCCGTGAGGAGGTCGGCAGTGGACTGGCACGGCCAGCAGAGCCAGGGAGATATTAATGCCATCTGTTTTGTTTGACACCCTCCCATATGAATAGCACCAGCCTCGGTTTTCTACTGCTGGCTTTTGGCAGTACACTGCCTTTCCCCTAGATGGAGGCAGCTACCCAGAAACGACCTGCTCAGCATTTACATGATACCTTTCACAGCCCAGCTGCCGGTACGGATTTAAAGCATATGCTCGTAAATGGAGTTTTATGGGATGCAGGAATCGTGCTGGGAGGGATTTCGGCTTGTGTGACCAATGACCTAACAAGCAGTAATAGAATTAGGAGAGCTTATTCCACAGTCTGCGCAGTCGGAAGAGCATTGAATTTCATTAAGTTTATTCAATAAGTAGGAAGTAATACAGAATTACCCCGAGTCAGGAAAGCACTTTGCATTCATTCATTACAATTTAGTCAGATGCCCTCGTGTGAGGGGAAAATTAAATGGAAATATTTGGGAACTTTCAAGGTGGTACTGCTTTAAAACTGTGTTTCGTAGAGCTTATATAAATCTCCATATAGCTTGGAAAAATCTCATATACATATTTAATAAATTTATTTTGGCACTGTCTTTTTATAGATCCTTTAAACATTAAGTGTAAATGACTTGACTTACCTCTTTGAGGAACCCCAGCCAAGGAGATAAAGGCTGGGTCAGGATACTTTTTCCCACAGCCAGCGTCGGACAGTCTCTGCAGTGTTATAGACTAGCTACTTAACAACAGTTTAGTTTAATAAATGAACAAGTGCCATATAGTAGGATAAAACAAACAAACAAGTCCCCTGCAGGATATAATTAACACTGATAACTCGGTAAATTTTTACTTCAATTATTCCAGAACTTTTCTGTGGAATCTTTAATAATCCAGAGTGTGGATTTAGTGTACTTAATTTGTGCAGCTCTGTTTTATTAAACGGAGCTATATATAGGGAGAAGGGAAGAAATGAATTTCAGTAGACCTGCTTTTAATTACAGAAGTTGAGCAGTGCTCTACAGCTCCTGTCCTTGGTGTTACTGGGGAAACGGGCTCTGCAAAAGCTCCTCCACAAGGTTCCTGCCAGGAGGCTGCCCCTGAGCTGTCTGACTTGTCTCTCCATTTCTCTTGTGCCTGTAACAGGGAGGCAAGGATCAGGTGTGTTGCTCTTTGGGGCTGTGTCTCTCCTTCTGCAGCTCACCTCCTTACAGGTCCCTGCTGGGAAAGGCTCCCTGGGCATCCGCCAGGAAAAACGAATGTGAAACACAAGAGCTTTCTCCGAATTCGGGGCTGCTGCTGATAGCCTTGTAGCCAGAAGACTAAACATAGCAAAACAAGGACTAAACAGTAGAATAATTGAGGCTGAAGTGAGAAAGTGGCACAGGTTAGAGAGGGAAGGGGCACGATAGCAGGAGAGCTGCTCTCAGCCCCTGTTGACAGTCTGGCTTGGAAACAAGCATCTGTCTCCAAATCTGAGGCAGGTGTGCAATCAGCACTTCCTTAAAAAAACAGGGAGGAAAGAGAAGCCTTCCTCCTGCCCCTTGCCTGCAGGGTGCCGAACATGTTGGTAAGTAAGAAGGCCTGGGGTCTTTGCTCTGTTCCTGCTGCCTTATTTCCCTGTCCTTTTTTGACTTGCTGCAGCTCAGACGTTTTGTGTTGGATCCAGGTGTTTGTGTGCCCCTGAGGCTTTTAAAGAGCAATGGGAGCTGGGAAGGGCAGCCTCCTCTTCAGACAAAGGGAGCCGCTGAGTAGCCACAAACCTTGTTAGCTCCAGTCACAAAGGACAGGCTGCACATGTATTTTTAATGAAATCTTGGGTTATACAGTTGCTAATGGCACTTAGCTGAAAAGCTTCCTGCTTGCCACAGCTGACTAACCCCATCCTGCCTTGATACCTAGATATGACACGACCTCCACGCATGTGTAAAATCCATACAATGTGTGACAAATCCAGCAGCTGCTGATGTAGTTGTCTTTAAATGAGTGGGAGTTATTTATCTCCGCTGTTTCAGAATATTTTTCTTCACAGGGCACCAGGGATGTGTCCTAATGTTATTATTAAGTGGTAGCAGAGGAAGGTTGTTAACCCCTTGTCCCATCCTCCTTCAGCACCTAAATTTCCAGGCATTCAGACGTGGCACATACACGTAGCTTTGGCAAAGCTGCCAAGGTAGCAAGAGCATGAGACCTCTGTGCCCCTTGTCACAGCAGGTAAAAGATCCAGTGAATGAACACAAAGATGTTTTAGTCTGTTAGAAAGGGCATTTTTGGGGAAGCATACCAAAAGCGGACTCAAAAGGCTTGATTCAACAGCCCTGCCTCCCAGCAGAACCAGCTTTAAACCAAATTGTTTCCCTGGGAATGCCTTTTTTCTCCACCATGTTTGGTGTCACAATTAAAATCACAAAAATTACCATTTGAACTTTTCGTGTTCTCCTGCTCTTGCATTTTTCTTACAGGGGTGCATTCCTAGCTAGCTGCCTGACTCAGAAATTTACACTGGAACAGCTAAATGCAGGTGTGCTGGAGCTGGAGCGAGCTGGCCGAGACGAACCGATGAGAATAGGGTGTATAAAATAGCCACCCAGCTTCCTGTCCGTAAGCCTCTCGGTACATGTCAAAATAGAAGTGAGAGGTAGCGGCATTTCGATCACGTGTCTGGAAGTTCAGCAGGACTTTTTTGAAGCCTGGCAGAAGTTTTCCTGCGATTGTAGAGTTTTGCATGGGACTTGGGGAAGGAAGGATCCCTCTGCAGGGCTGCTCGCAAAAGGAGAGGTTTGCGGGGAGAGCTCCTTACCTGGTGCCCGGACTGGGATGAGCAGCAGCTGTGCCTGAAAACCTAAACCTGCTGTTCCCCGTCATTGTTGGAGGGATGAAGGGCTGGCCTGGGGTAACACGATATATCCTGTGGCGATATATCCCTTCATATCCTAAGGCTGTGCTTCCCATCCATAACCATCAGGATCGTAGCGAGGGGCCAGGCCTGGTGCTGTCGCACCATCATCACTGACGGCGCTCCTGGCCAGTGCTTGCACAGCACTTTAGAAATTGGGTCTTGTGGCCAAAAGGCTCACCACAAGCGAGGGCCACGGCTTCAGCGGGCTGAGGGTCTGGCACGAGTCGCAGAGAGGGAGCAGGGCTCAGCGGGGTTATAATTATGCTGGTCGTTTGGGGTTGGGGGCCGACTGCGGAATCCGCTGGGCCCGCTCGGTGGAAAGTTTGAGCTTGCAGGGCTCCGTGCCTGGGGCAGCTCAGCTCTGCCACTGCCAACGCAGGGCAAGGGGCACGAAACCCACCCAACGGCAGAAGCTCTGGGTCGGGTAGGGCTTGGAGACGTGTGGGCTCGGGCTTTTTCCGAAGGATGGAGACCTAGCTCGGCGGCTAACTGCAAGTGATTCCGGGGAGCGCGTGGTGCGTACAGCCGCCTGATTTTCTTGTGACTCTCCGAGAAGCCGTGTGCCTGTGAAGTGGTGTTACGTTCTCATGAGATTCCAGTGGCTTGCCGCAGGGAGAGCCCTCGCTGCTCTGCTTGAGCCGTCTCGTATCACTCGCTGTGCACGGGGAGCGTTAGGACCACCAGAAGTGGCTGCTTTGCAAATGTAACGCCAGGTAGAGCGTGGGCACTGCGTACATCTGCAGTGCTGCTTGGGGAGGGAGGCTGAGGATTTCAGTGCGGTGGCTTGCTTTCTGAATGTGGGTAAAATAAGGGTTTCCTAGAAATAAGGAATGGGGTCATTAGTGCAGGGATTAATGCCAAGCATGAAACTTTCACGGTGGTGTTTTTTCCCTGGCAGAATTTTCAATAGACTTATGGTAAGCAATTTTTTATTTACATTACTTTTCTTCTTTAGCAAAAGGAACATGAAATAGCGTAAAAGCAGCACCTCTTAAAAATGAAAAGCTCAAACACTTTCCTCTGAAGTAAAAGTTATGCGAGTCTCTGTGTACAGCAAAATAAAGCAAGTGCAGCTTTCTGGTACTTTTCAGAAAGTATCCTAGAGATCTAGAAGCCTTCCAGGAATTTATGTTTATAGCAACTTGAAGTGTGTCAGGTCAAACTGGCACAGCTATGCAGATTGTCAAGTTCGAAATGTGAATCTGTTTGGAGTTTGGGGGAACTGGTAAATAAAGATTCCCCCCCAGTTCTGTGCGTTGGACATCGGTTGTATTTTAGATGTGATGCCTCATGTTTCTGTTCATGCTTCTAAAATGGCATGTTTCAAATCATGGAATAATTCTCTCACAAAAGGGGAAATCAATGTTAACATAACAGAGAATCCAAAAAGGTCAGGAATTAATGAATTTGTGGAAAATCTGCAATATTTTGCAGCGTGACAGGCACATAGCATAAGTATGAAACAGAATAATAGGTGAAGTTTGCTGGACACATACATGCGAATCAGGTATGGTTACAGCAACCAGAATGTACAATATTAATCTTATTTTTCTACATTTGAAAGAGAAGCAGGTGTCTTAATATAAATAGATACTCAGTTATGTTAAATGCACTTTTATTTTCTTAGTTTTTTTTCCATGTTGATTCTTTGTCCTACACTGTAATTTATACTGCGTAGATCTGTTTACTCTCTCTGAACGTTAAAGGTGTACGTGGAATTGGATGACTTTAATCTGTCACTCTAAAAATAAGCAGCATATTGTTTAACTTCATCTTTACTTTATCTCACACAAGAAGCTTAGTGCTGTTATCTTTCCTTGAACTAGGAACGCCAGCGGCTGGAGACGATCCTCAATTTGTGTGCAGAATACTCCAAATCTGACAGTGACCCCACTGCAACTACGACGGTTGCCGATGTTCAGAAAATTAACAAAGAACTTGAAAAGCTTCAGCTATCAGATGAGGACTCTGTGTTTGAAGATTCGCAGATGAATCTGGAAACGAGGTTTAGAAACCACTTGAAATCATCTGCAAGTGATTCAGATTTCTCGGAACCAAGTAACCACAGTCGCAGCACCACGTCTTTCCTTTCCTCCCGAGGGCTGAGAGCTGATGAGCACTTCAACGAAAACATGAAGCCTCCTCCTTTAGCTGCTCCTGGCTTCCTGAAGGATTCCACTGAATCTTCATACCTAAGTATCACACCAAAGGTAATGCTGGGTAGGAAGAAATAGTACAGCCTCAGGTAGATGGCTTGAAATCCTCCTCCTCTGGAAGTTGGTTTTCACAGCAGGGATCACAGTTGGGATGGTTTAGGCAGAAGAATTTATCTCAGAGCTCTTAGAGCTTAGCACCCAGTGACTGATTGTTTCATTTCCTGTGAAAGCTGATGGTACTAGAAGTATTTTTCTGAGGGATGTAGGATTCGGGGGCACTTTAGCATTTTGGAAGAAAGAATGACTTGTCTGAACAATTTAAGGCTACTTAAATAAGCAAGGTTTCAGGAGTCCTGCTTAGAGCTGTGCTGAGACAGAGGAAATAAGGTAAGTGCTACCATACTCTCCTAGACTGAGGCTCCTGTTTCCTGTAAGAGGGTATTTTCTCTTTTGGAAACCAGAATAGCTACAGAGGAGGTGAAGAGGATTCGCCTGAGCTGATTTTGCTCTCCTGTTGACTCTCCCTGGGCTGGACCCAAGCTGCTTGTCAAATCAGCTGCTGCCTCTCATGGGGCGTGCAGTGGCAGCTTGCCTCCTGGCACACGAAGGAATGAACGCAGCTCCTAGGCTTGCTATGATGCAGTTTCTTCCCTCTCTCCATCTTGCTGTTTCATTCACGAAGGGGAGTTGTCCTTCAGAAATTGAGATAACGGTGTTCCTAGCATTCTGCTTCAGCTGGGAGAGCAGCAGCAGCTTCCAGGGTCCCTTCTGGGTCAGCGCCCGGGCTCTCTTGTGCCAGATGAGCAGTGCAGCCATTTCTGGGGAAAGGCAGTGTGCTCATGTGCTTGATAAGTATTTCCAATAATTAGAGTGAAGAGCTTAGTGAGGCCAACGGGAGACATAAAAGCAGGTTTCTGTTTAACATTGTCATGCCTTTAAAGTATTTTTTGTCTCTCCCCTTTTACATGCCTTACATGAATTGTATTTCATTTCCGCTTAACTTCTACACATAGCTTAGTCCATAGAAGCGAGTATGTTTAAAAGAATAGAGAAGCATGATAGAAATACATTTAATCTTATACAGGGGTATCTCTTTGGAAATCTGTCATCCAAATTTGAAGTTACGTTAAACAGAAACATAGCATTAAGGTTTTATTTGGTCTTACCAGGTCTTTCCATGTTTGAAAGGTGGTGAAACATTTCATTTACAAGTTCCTGTGGTCTTGCATTTTTTTCCCATTTGTTTCTTTCTTCCAACAAGTCAGAGGCTATTTTAAATCCTTATTAGGAGGTTGAAATTGAAGATGTTATGTCAGCATTATCCGAGCAGGATACCGGACAAAAAGAGGCTTTCCTGCTAGGATTACTGCTGCTAATCAAGGAATGCCATTCCTTCATTGTAAAGGGTGCCCTGCTAAGTCCTGAGCAAAGCAGTAAAAGAGCAACTGTGTTAATGGTACACAGCTCATTGTTTTAAAGTACTGAGATCAGATTTGTCCACGATAATTTGGCCGTGCCTGCTCTCAGAATAGCCATTCAGTAGCTGACCTGAGCCTCTTTAGAGCAAAGCTGTGTGGTCCAGTGGTTAATGCAAAGCCCTGAACACAGCCCGCTTCTAATTCAGGCTGGAGACAATGAGTGAGCAGCCTTACAAAAGTAATTTGATCGCGAGCCCCTGGGGTCAGGTGAACATGAAGAATACTTTGGAAACTCAATACTCTTTGATCTAGCCTTTGCTGCTCTAATGAGATCACTGATATTTTTCTTAATTATGTTTTTTAATTATTGGCACAGTTATCTAGTAAGTTAATGGCAATGAAAAGAGCCATGTTAAAGGGTACTGACTCCTGATGGCTAAGCATAGGACTGAGTTTCATCCCTGTTTCACAGAAGCTGCCCCTTTTGATGGTTGGCTACAGAAATGTCCTATTTTACATCCTGGCTTTTATTACATGAACAGCCGCCGTCTACATAAAAAGTATCATCATCTATCTCTTTTAAGAGATAAATCAGATTTTTACAAGCTAAATAGCACAGCATGTAAAGAGTTCTCAAATGTTAAATATTAATAATTCATATAGCATGAATAGTATTTTCTGCTCAGTACAGTATTTACTTCCAGAGCTTGGATGTAAAGTGTCATGTTTATTTCTCTTCTACACATTCTAAATATAGAGGTAGCAATATAGTAGATAGGAAATAACTAACAGGTTCAAAACCAGCAACACAGTACTTGTCTAAAATGACTACAATATGAAAGAGGGAAGGAAACACGGTGTTCAACTTCTTTCTGATAAACCTCTTGTAATGTGCAACTGCAGATACCAGAATGCATGAGCGATGAGCAAAGAGGGCAGGAGCTCACTCGTCTGGAGGAGGAGCGCATAGTAATACTAAATAACTTGGAAGAACTTGAACAGAAGATCAAAGATTTAAATGACCAGATGGATGAATCCTCGAGAGAGGTATGAGACATGATTTGGTTTTAAATGTCTTGCTTCTTAGGTATGCCCACATACCACAGATAGGATTGGTAAGTACACATACACGTACATAGTCTTTGTATTCTGCGCTTCTTCGCCAGAGTAAGGCACAATCACAGACATGGTAGTCTCCTACTGTGAAGGTTGTTTTTCTCTAGCAGGGGGATGATTGTCATGCTCAGATTAGCCTTTCCCAGCTGTAACCATTATACTCCTAAGTGGAATTAGAACAATCTTGCTTGCTGAATGGTCACTCAATTGATCTAAATACCTTGTGTCACTTGGGTGTTTTATAGTGGTATCTCATGTGACCCTTTAAAGAGAAAGGAAGTGAGATAACTTCCTATTAAACCTCCTTGTCTTTATGGTGGCAAGGTTATGTGGCAGTCTCTTGACTTCTGGAATCTCACAGTTACAGACTAAGCTGGTCAGGCATTTGGGTTGTGCTTATTCCAATTATCAGCAACAGGAAAGAAACAGCTGTTCGAAAAGGGTTTCCTACAGAGCCTGGGCACAGATACTTGGTATAGTATCATAACAGGAGGAAGCACAGAGGAGAAGAGTTAGAAAACAAACAAAAAAAAACTTCAAAAAAGAATCTTCAAGCTAAAGTTGGTTTGGACTTTATTTTGCAATGTTTCTGTTGCAGTTTTACTTTTTCTCAGTTTTGTGATCTCTTTTTAACTTTGTGGGAGTAAAACTGTTTTCTTTTTCTCCTTTTAAAAATATTTCTCTGTTGTAAATGATCAACAACTCACTCCCCTTCCCCCAGAAAATAATGTGTATCAAGATTTCTTCTTAGTTTGGACAGCTTCTGAAAAATGTTTTGTATTCCTAGTTGGATATGGAATGTGCCCTTTTGGATGGGGAACAGAAATCTGAAACAACAGAGCTTCTGAAAGAGAAGGAAATATTGGATCATCTAAACAGAAAAATAGCTGAGCTGGAGAGAAATGTTATTGGTGAAAAGACAAAGGTAATGAAGTTATCTTAGCTGACTGTGTGCTCTGTTCCTCTTAATTTTCAGAATGCATTTATGTTATTAACATATTGATGGAGGTTGTTTTATAAAGTAGTGTCTCTAAGTAAATGTTTTTGATAATTATGGAAGAAAGAAATAGTCTTGTTTTCCAAGAGATACTTGACAAGCAAAATGAAGTATGCTTAAGTGAAAAGACCTGACCTACTCTGAAGGTATTTTTGATTGATAAAGAATCCAGATAGGGCTTGGACTTGGTTTATCTTTTGTTTGAAAGAACAATATTAACTGCCCAGGGAGATTGTGGAGTCTCCTTCTCTGGAGATTTTCAAGGCCCATCTGGATGCCTACCTGGGCAGCCTGCACTAAAGAACCTGCTTTGGCAGTGGGATTGGACACGATGATCTTTTGAGGTCCCTTCCAACCCCTTCAATTCTGTGATTCTGTGAACTGACCTGTACTTCAGCCTTCCATTGTAGGTTACATATTTTTATTTTATTTTTTAATTAATCCTTTCTCAGCAATGGAGCAGTAAGAAAAAAGGGGCCATCGTTTCAGAAGATGGCTTTAGCTAATATTATACAGATTGATGCATAAGACATTTGTAAAATATATTGTTTTAAAGAAAGTGTATGGATTTATATGGTTTGTCAACTAACAGTTTTATTACTGTAGAATACGGGAATGTAGAACTGGGATTAAGTGAAAGGAATTATGTAGTTGTCCTATACAGTCACATACTTAATTGCTCTCAAATATGCAGATATATTTGCAAAATAGCACCACAGTACAAGTTAAGCACAGAAAGAAAAGTGGCCTGTGAGATGAACCTGTCCCCCTCAAACCAGAGAGGGTTTGTCTCCTCCAGCACGCTCTCTGCTGGCGATCCAGGCCAGCAGTTCCTTTCTTCACAGGGGATTTACCACAGCCAATAATATCTCAAGGTCAGGATTTTAATTTTTTTAATTTTTTTTTTTTTCAGGACTACAAGCCAGTAATGTTTCCTTTTTAAATTTCATCCTCTACCTCATAATTTAAGCCTGTCACTTATGGAAGTACTGTAGCTAGTCTCTCCCCCTTTTTTTAAGCTTTCCAGAAATATCTGAAACTCTCAATTATTTGCTCTTGTTTAGACAAGCTGCACGTTTTTAGCTCTCTCACTCTTCCTGTTTAACTCAAGCCTTACAGCTTGCATTGTTTTATCCTGAGTTTGTTGTCTTCAATTCACATCTGCCTTGTCATGAGCCTGAATGCTGTTTTGCAGCTGCACTCATGAAAGCTCTGTGTGATGAGGAGAAAGGTGCTCCCACCTCTTTGCTCTGCAAATTGACAGTACACATCCAATTTAAGCTTAAACTTTCACGGACTTTCCTGCCTGCACCTTTCCTTGTTTGCATGTAGTCTCCAGTTCTTCAGCTTTCAGTGATGCCTGTGGTCACGCTTTAAACTGTCTGTATGCTTCATACTTGCTTTTTGTTGTGAAGAGGAATTTAAAGTTGCTAACAGCAGGTAGGGTGGTGAAAGCATATATAGCAGCATCCTTTTGCAGAGTAAGTTTTGTTTGGTCTCGGTGGTAACAAATACCATATCCAGAAATTCAGGAGATCTTTTGTAGTTGTTCTCTAGTAGACTTAAAGTTCAACAAAAGTCATGGAAATTATTATAATCCTATAGACTGTGTACATTTCCATGCAATCACGTGCTGGAGCAGATAACATGTTTGCACTGCTGTGTAACAATCTGAAGATTAAGACTGTCTAGTTTAAATTTTCAATTGAACTAAAACATGGGAAGCAGCCTAGAAAAAGCACTTGGGTTATTTAAAAGAAATATATATAGAGGGAGAGAATTGACAAAGTATGATGCACACCACTGGTCAGATCAGTTAATATATTTTAGTAGTCTTTTCTCCTGTGTTCTTTAAAAAAAAAAAAAAAAAACAAACAACAAACAGATGCAAGTGTTTGCATTAGACTTAGAGCCATGGCTCAGTTAATGCTCTAAGTATCTTTGTAAAAATAAACTAGCCTTATGAGAGTACAGGCTTTGTTCTGGAAGACATCTGAATGTGTTACATAAAAGTGAAAACTTAAAAACAAGAAAGTCTTATATAAAGTACCTTAAAGTGACAGCTGAAATGTTATGGAGAAACAGTGTCAGCCAGCAAAACAGATGGCACTCATCATGTCACTCAACAAAAATCCTGGCTAACTTTAGACAGCATTGTTTTTTAGAAGTTTGATTTCTGTGTCTGTATGTTGAAGGTTGCAGCCCCTGCAGATCTGATCCAAGACAGGAAAAATCTTGTTTGTTAGCAGTGCAGGACCAAACTCTTCCAGGGAAGTAGTGCTCAGGCAGAAGTGAAGTGTTGGAACTTTTTGCTGAAATAATTTGAAACTTATGAACTCCTTAACAGAATTAAGGCTCAGTTTCAGGCTGGTAGTTGTCATCCTTCTGGTATTACTTCTGCATTGTTTTTTGGAAGATCAAGTGCTCCAGTGTGTCCAGTGCTCACAGTTTCTTCTAGTTGCTTGAATATTTCACCCTGCATAATACCAGTGGTTTCAGTGTGTGGTCTATCCTGGAAAGAAGTTGTTGTGTCCATCCACTTGGATGAACGTTTTTGTTAGGGTAAGGGAATGGCATCTGAATATGCTGCATGGTTCCTTCTTGAGGTGAAATAAATAGTTGATTTCGTTCACGAAGTGATGCTGTGGCATTACTGCTGTGCATGATGGCACTTGTCTCTGGAGTGACTTGAGTATCTCCTGGAATTTGCCACGCATCTCAGCACCTGTTTGACAGGAAACCCTTGCTTGCTTGTATTTAATCCTTACTGATGCACCTGTTTGAAAAACTTGTGAAATTCTTAAAAAGAGAGATCATAAAATACAAAGTAGTTGCAGGGCCATGTTAGGTACTTGAAGTAGACTGCGGGTGGTATCTTTTGTATTAACTTTCTACCCGAGTCTGTGCCTATTTTTATGCTTTGTTCACAAGTCATTTAGATGAGAACACAAAATTTTGACAATCTTTGCACTTAAAGTCATAGTTCAAAAAGAAGTGTGATAACAGGGACAGTGCTTTCAAGGCAAGAGCATCAGTTGGAAAATGTACTTGAAGACAGAAGGCAAAGAGACTTTGGATTTTAGTTCCTGGCTGTGCCACTAAGCTCTTTGCTGTGGTACAATGTCTTTGTGTCCCAACATCTATGCGAATGTGTTTGTATATTATATGGATTTTCATCTTATTCAAGGCCTGTGTTCAGCCTTGCCTGAATGCATGGCGTATGGTGATGAAGAATGGATGAGTCGGTGAGGAAGATGATGTAGTGCACTCCCTGGGGTGAGTTCAGAGCCTTGCCCTTGCTTTTGTGAGTGTGCCACCACACATTTAAGGAACAAAGCAATTAGCGTCTATTTACTTAGGTTTTGGAAAAGAAGAGCTATGAGCAGTTGCCATTTTGCAAAGAAGACAACAGAGCCTTTCAGTAGCAGTACAGGGTTTAGTGTAATTCTGGCTACGGTGTGTTTGTGCCAGATGCAAGTGCTGGTGGGACTCACTTGTCCTGGCTGGGATAGCTGCTCCCAGTGCTGGGGAGCAGGATCACTGTTAGACAAGGCCTGTACTCTCTGCTGTCTTTTGTTCCAGTGGTGCTGGAAATTGTGTTAGTGTATGCAGGAAGATGTGGCTTTGCCTCACTTTTCTTTTTCTTTTTCTTTCTGTATTTCTTTTTAAACTGCCCAGTCCAATGTATTTGGCATTACCCACAGACGATGACCAACTGTGTGTCTGAATAGCAGCATTTAGACTATTAACTGCAGGCTGCAGATACCCAGGAACAATCCTGATAAGTTAGTAGTAACACAATTTCCCGCATGTACCTTGAAGCTCTCCGGGTAGGAGATTTGCTACAGATATTGACAAAACTTCTTTGAGTTCTGCCTGCTTTGGAGAGAATGGAGCTCGTCAGTCCTCAGAAACAAATAAACAGATGAGCCTGTCAGCCTTCCATCCCAACCCTGGCATCTTGTGATGTCATGCCACTGTACTGCAGGGGTACCATAATGATGCTGTGGTTCCTGGATTAAATAGCACGGTGGGGCTGAGGTGCTGTTCCCAGTCACAACTTCCTCATGTCGGCTCTTCTCATGTTGACTCTTTGCTCATGAGACTTTGTTCAGAATTGACATTTGTCTATAAGGAAGTCAGAGAAAATTAAGTTTATACAACTTGACGTTACCCAGTATTGCAAAGTACTTTTTTTTTTTTTCCTCCATACAGCACTTTCTTAGTCTGAATAGTTTTAAAACAATTCAGCCAAGTCTAGCTAAAAGTCTAGCATATGTGGAGAAGGTTACTTATTGATTTGCTGTGCCTGATGTCTCAAAGCTGGAAAATAACACAGCACTCAGAAGGAATGGATAAATGAATAAAGAGGGATAGCTGAAAATGATTAATGAATACAGCAGAAGTGCTGTGGGAGGTAATCATAGTTAACCGGCAGTTTTGGCAGAGAGTTTCAAACAATTATCTAGGTTTAGACTGTGTTTTAGGAGAGGGAGGTTATTCCTCTTCTTCCGGAGGACCTTTGCCTTATGTCATGGTGGAGATGGATTCTCTGGAACGCTTCTATCACACTGGGTTTTCCTTTCCCTTTCCAAGGGTAAAAATCAGGAGCAGTCAGCAGTGGATAACTCATCTTTGTTCGGAATACTGTTAAATTTTGTCTGCATGCTTTTGTGGAAATATTTTTCAGTCATTAGCAGAACGTCCCAGAGACGCCAAAAGTGTTAGAAACTCAGCCTCTTTGCTGAACTACATATAGTACTGCGAAGACATGCATGAATGAAACCAGGGGAAAAAAAACAGCTGTCTGATAAACCATATGAGGGGATTTACCAGAAATGAAAGTTAAAGATTCTGGCGATCTGTCGTGAATCCTTTCTCTTTTGGATTCAGAATTCTTGCTGTTGTCTTTTATTCTGATGAATCTG